CAGCTCCCCTTTTAACGCCTTGGCTGCTGTTGCTAGGTGACAAGGAAGCGGGTGGGGCTGAAATTGGACATCAGGGCGCTTGTAGTTTGTTCTTCAGGAGACAACCAAGGCAGATGTCCTAGGGAGATGTCTTTATCAGTATCTCCACCCAAGCCTGTAAAAGATGCTTAGAGTAAAAGTTAGGAAGAGTTCAAAAGAGGCTTGTTTGAAGAGGAGGGGGAAGGAAACTTTCTACTAATTAGAGACTTGGTGTGAATTACCCGAGTTGTAAAAAACAAAACAAAACACACACACACCCAAAAAAACAGCAGAGAGGAGGTGTATGCAAGAATGTAGTCTTGAGCATAACTTATCTTGTCTTCCAATTAGAACAGAGGGGCTGTTTGAGTCAGAGGAGCTAACATGTTGGGGTTTAATTACCAGGAGCTTCCCATAAGTTGTGGAAGGCCTTTTTTCTATTCTACTCAGTGATTAGTATGTTAGTGTCTTTAAGTATGAAGTTTCCTTATGTTGCTTTGTAGTTCATTATAAAGCTATTTCCATTTACAACCAGAAAAATGCAGATAACCTAATATTGGCGAACATACTTCACTAGAGGCTGCGCCACCCCCTCCCCGCCACCAGGTGGCGACCGGGCGGCGCCGCCTCCTCCTGCGCAGGCGCAGTCCGCGAGCAGGCACGTCTCGGAGCCCGCCAGTTTGCAGGCGCCGGGGCCGCGCCTGCCTGGCAGCTGAGGCTGCGCAGCCGCACGTCGCCCGACACTGAGGCCGGATTCATGTGGAAGCTGCTCCCCCACGCGGGCTCGGCCCGAGGTGAGGCGGCAGGGAGGTGACCGAGGGCCGACTTCCCAGGGCCGGGCCGGGGGCCGAGGGTCTGAGGGGCGCTTCCGGCTTGACCCCGCCCCTGTCGTCACCTTCCAGCGACGGCGGGAGGCTGTGCTTTTCGGACGCGGGGCGGGGCGTCTTGGGGGGCGGGGCATCGAACGCGGGGCGGGGCGTCTTGGGGGGGCGGGAGCGTCGGACGCGGGGCGGGGCGTCTTGGGGGGGCGGGAGCGTCGGACGCGGGGCGGGGCGTCTTGGGGGCGCGGGAGCGGGCTGGTCGCTTGTCCCGGACCCAGGTCCTCGCAGCCCTCGGTGCTGCGCAGCCAGTTGGCCCGGCCGCTCCGGGGACAGCGGGCCCAGCGGGGTGGCGGCCGCCGAGTGAGTGTCGGGCGTCGGCGGGTCCGGCGTGAAGGGACCGCAGGCGCTCGCTGTGGGAAGCGAAGGTGACGGGGCGCTGCCTGCTCAGAACACCCAGGACGCGGTTGTGCTGTGCGCGCCGGGCGGTGGGGAGGGGCACCCGGCGGGACGGGCACCTGCGGGAACGGGCACCTGGCGGGACCGGGCACCTGCGGGAACGGGCACCTGGCAGGATGGGCACCTGCGGGGACTGGCACCTGCGGGAACGGGCACCTGCGGGGGACGGGCAGCTGCGGGGACGGGCACCTGGCGGGGACGGGCACCTGCGGGAACGGGCACCTGCGGGGACGGGCACCTGGCGGGATGGGCACCTGGCGGGGACGGGCACCTGGCGGGACGGGCACCTGCAGGAACGGGCACCTGCGGGGACGGGCACCTGGCGGGACGGGCACCTGGGGGAGGGGCACTTGGAGGGGCTGGCACCTGGGGGAGGGGCGGGCACCTGGGGGAGGGGCACTTGGAGGGGCGGGCACCTGGGGGGACAGGGAACTAGGGGAAGGGCACCCTGAGGGGCGGGCACAGGGAACTGGGGGACGGGCACTTGGGGGGCGGGCATGGGGGGAGCGGCGGCTGTGCTCCCCGTGCGCTGCTCCTGCTCGCTCCTGTGTCACCTGCGTTTCATCAGCTGCCTCCGAGTTCCCGCGGACCTCAGGTTTCTCGCAGCCGTGTTTCCCCTTTTCCCAGGGGCTGTGGGGTCCGTCCGTCCATCGCGTTCTCAGCGGAGCACATTGACCGCGAACCGCGTGGTCGGCGGGGCGAACCGCGTGTTGGAGCCGCTGCGGGAAGATTGTCGCGTTACATTTCGTCGGGAACGTGGTCGAGCGTTCGCGCGGCTCAGTGTGGTTTCCCGGCTAGTCAGCCTTCTGCGTCCTTCAGCGAGGCTTTACAGGAAAAATACGTTTCCTTTAGGAGCCATTGTTACCATTTAAATAGCAAAATGGAGCTCTTTCATCGAAATAACGCCCTTGCCCTGTAGGAAGGCGCGCGCGTGCGCCCGCGTGCGTGTGCCTGAGTGTCCGCCCGTCCCCTAGGCCCGCGCCGCCTGCTGACCGGCGTGGAGTACGTGGTGGGCAGGAAGGGCTGCGACATCCTCCTGGAGAAGGACCCGTCCGTCAGCCGCAGCCACGCCGTGCTCGCCGCCCGCTTCCCCGCGACCAGCCCGGTGCGTTCCTGGCGGTGCTGCTCGGGCTCCAGCACCGGGGGGTCGGGTCCGAGTGCCTCGCTGTGTGTGGAGGGTCAGCACCTTTTCCTTCCTCAGCTGTTAGTGTTCTTTCATGTTTTTATTCATTTTACAGAGAGGAAGGGAGAAGGGGGGAGAGAGAAACCCCGGTGAGCGAGGAGCCTGGCCCACTGCCGCCTACACCGTGGCGCCGGCCACCCGGGCCTGGGGAATAGAACCGGGACCTCTTGGTGCAGGGAGGCCCAACCAACCGGGCCACGCCCTCCGGGGGTAGATTTTTTAATTTTAAAAAATTAAATCCATTCTGGCGGCAGTACCAGTGGTATTTGTTTATTTTGATATTTGAAGTTTCTGTTCCACTATTTGAGTTTAATGATTTAGAAACTCGGGAAATAGAACATCTTTATATTTATTTACTTAAGCATTCATTGAGTCTCACTGTGCCTCGCCTGGGGTGGAGCAGTGACTGCCCTGAGCTGGAGGGTTGTGCGGCCCTGTGAACACGGGTGTTTCCCCGGCAAGGCGGCTTCGCAGGGGGTCCTGTTATTCCGGAAAATAGCTGCTGCTCAAGACCCACAGCTCCTTTGACTGGCTTTGAGTTTGGGCTGGTTGGTTGTTTTAATTACAACCTTGGGTGATAAAAGTGCTAAGCATATATATAAACACTTGTGCTCATGCTGGTGGTTAAGAAAGAAAACCCATTATTTTTAGCAAACACTACATATCAGCAAGTACTGAATCTATTCAGTGATATTTAGGTTTTGTGTGTCTATTCTTTTTTGTTGTCCTCACCAGAGGATATTTTTTCCATTGATTTTTAGAGAGAGTGGAAGGGAAGGAAGGAGAAAGAAGGAGGGAGAGGTGGCGGGGAGAGGTCAGTGTGAGAGAGACACTTCGATTGGTTGCCTCCCACATGCCCCTGATAGGGCCAGAGCCAGGCCAGGGCCGGGGCTCGAACCTGCAACCCTTCAATTCCAGGCCTGATGCTCTGTCCACTGAGCCACACCAGCCAGGTCTGTCTGTATTCTTATAGGTATAGAAAAACGTTATTGTTCAATAGTGACTGAGTTGTAAAACACTAACTTATTTGATTCTTTTTTCAGAGTCAACCACATGAAACCCCTGTATTGACAATAAAAGACAATTCTAAGTATGGTACCTTTGTTAATGAGGAAAAAATGCAGAATGGCCTTTCTCATTCTTTGCAGACAGGGGACAGAATTACTTTTGGGGTGTTTGAAAGTAAATTCAGGTAAGAATTTTTTAAGTTGATATAGAAGTGGAGTGCTTTATTTTGCATGAATCAGATTCTAAAGGACACAGCAGTTTTTTCTTGATTGCAACTTCAGATATAGGTAACAGTGATTTTATTAGTTGGAAATCTTAGTAATACAAAAAAATTTAAAAAGCACTTGTTTAAAGCTCTGTACCTATGACCTGTAACTTTGTGACTCGTTTTCACTTACAGAGTGGAGTACGAGCCTCTGGTCGCGTGCTCTTCTTGTTTAGATGTCGCTGGGAAAAATGCTTTGAATCAAGCTGTCCTGCAGCTGGGAGGACTCACTGTGAACAACTGGACCGAAGAGTGCACCCACCTGGTCATGATGTCAGTGAAGGTCACCATTAAGGTAGGTCGAATGCCTTGTTGTTATGCTGAAGTGAGTTCTGTGAATTTAAGCTTACCCACTCTACACAGCTGTTTTTAAAGTCATTTACTTTAAACCCATCGGAATTGTTAGTTGTAGATTTATATATGCCAACCCCATGCCTTTGTATAACATTTATGTCAGATTGGCTTTTTGGTAATTTATTTATTATATGGGACAACAGAAGCACCTAAAATTATATTTCACTTTTGGATTTGGCATTTTAAATAATTATTTATGTCATCTGTTCACCAAGAAGTTTCTACAGTGTAAGGCTAGTGTTTTCAGCCTGAGAGCAACTGCCAATCTTCAAAATTAGCATCTCCCACCTCCTCATCCAGTTGTCTTCCTCCAGGCTCTGTCGTCTCAGGCTCTTTTATTTGGTTTAGGGTCCTAATCACAAATACTTGTTAAGTTCTTGTAGTTTAATATTGCCCTAATGTATCTCACAATCAAGATATGTTTGGTATGTACTTTTAGAAGATGCTGAAAGTATTCATGAAAACAGTGATGTGTTTTGGTATGTTTTCAGGTTTTGCATCTTCATCAGATTTGGTTGTGTCCAAACTAACTGAAGAAAGACATTGGGAAGGGACTCGTCTCCCTTCATTTATTTATTGTTTTTACTGATTTTTAGAGAGAAAAGGAGAGAGAGAGAGAGAAGCATCTATGCGAGAGTGAAACTGCTTCCCGTACCCCCCACTGGGGATGGACCCCACAGCCTGGGCATGTGCCCTGACCAGGAATCATACCACCTTCTGGGGCACAGGACAGCACCCAGCCAGCTGGGCCCCACCGGCCAGGGTGCTCATGTCATTGTAAACGGGCTGGTCGTGGATGTGCAGGATTGCTTTAGGTTAATATCCGTAGTGAAAACCAACAAATATTTAGATTCCTTCTTATATGATAGAAAAATCTTTTTTTTTTTTTTTTTTTTGGTGTCTGTAACCAAATTTATCCCTGAGGCCCAGCAGAGGGGATCAGGGCCCATGAGTCACAGTGTTTCTATGGCAGCCTTTTGGGCCAGTGTGAAAAATCTTTTAGTATATAATTAATTAAGCTAGAATGTGGGCATTATAGCCACCCAGGGTCCTAGAGAAGGGCTTGCTGCTCAGATTGAACCTCAGGTCAAACTTGTATCTTGGGATTATCTCTGACCAAGGATCACGTCATCTTTGCAAGTTTATGACATTGATTTATAAATTAAGCTGAGTCCTAACTTACGTTAGTACACCCACAGATACTAGATGCGTAAATCAGAATGTCCACTATTAGTTTACAGCAGGGATGCACCCTCACAGTGATCAGAATATGTCTGTGTGGACTCTTCAGATATCAAGGTACCTGAGAAACACAAGCGGGAACCATGCCCTTGCTTGCTGGGTATGAAGTGGGAGCTGAGGCTGTGACAGTCCTGGGAACTGTCACCATTCACTAGAGCACATGCCAGTCCCGTGATGCATCCGACGCCGTGTGTAGCTCTCGACACTAGCGTCCTGGACAGCCACCAACAGAGGCTAGCAGAGCCCACCTTCTCAATATCTCTGATGAGTCATGTGCCAAAAAAGAAAACCTTGGCCTTACTTTTTTTTGGTAACATTTCCAGAAGTACAGACAGGTTAGCTTATGTTTTTAAAATCATTGAGTGTTAGAACAAAATAAATCTTAAAGAACATTCAGTTCAGTTTTTATAGGGATTTGTAAATTAAGCAATGACTGAACTGACTTCTACTTTATAGATTATGGTTTCTTTATAGAGCGATGAGAGGGGAAAAGAATAGAATAGCCTCTTTGTAGTCTATAACTTAACACTTTTATTTAAAATGAGCTAGCAGGGGTATATGTATTCACATGTGCTTTCTTCTTAGACAATATGTGCCCTCATTTGTGGACGTCCAATCGTAAAGCCGGAGTATTTTACTGAATTTCTTAAAGCAGTTCAGTCCAAGACACAGCTTCCTCAGATTGAAAGGTATTTGTGTCCTTTAAATATAATAAAGCATGGCGTATGAAATATGATAGCACTAATTTTATTTAAGTTAATCTCTCTTTATTGACTGTTTCAGGATGTAAGGTTATAGTTCAGTTTTATTAGTGAAGTTTTTTTGTTCGTATGTAAAGAAAGGATCCCTGAATTCTTTTTTGGTTGTTGTTTATCTTGGTGAAACAAATGTTATGTGTGTGCTAATATTTAAAGAAAAGCACTGAAGGCCAGTGAACAGCAGGGGCCATACACAGAGCGCGTGTGCCAGTGCCAGGTGTCCTTGCTCGACGCTCCCTGGACCGTGTGGTGCAGCAGCTGCCTGTCCGGAGCCACTGGTCCTGGGGAGCAGTCACAGCCCTGGCCTGGAGCGCCTTTCTCCTGGGACTAGCACCTGTCCTGCTGAGGATTTGGGTGTTTAACTGTTGGGTACTTTAAGTAATAGTGTATACAGAGTCTGAGCACATTGCCTGGCATCGTGATAGGGGCTTGCTGAAGGAAATGCTGCTCATCACAGTATCTGCGGAGACTGCTTTATTTATTTAGATGCTTTGCGGAATTTGTGAACCCCCATGCTAAATGGTTTGGTATATACAGTGTTTAAAGTGATGTAAACTGGTTGAAGAGGAAGTTGGGGTTTTTAGATTGCGTGATGAAAATGCTGTGCTAAAATGGTGGGTGTGTAGTCGTCTTAGCACAAGGGCAGCTGCTTAAAATATGTGTCAGGAGATTATAGTCGAAATCAGTGGTTCTCAACCTTCTGGCTTTAAATACAGTTCCTCATGTTGTGACCCAGCCATAAAATGATTTTCGTTGCTACTTCATAACTGTAATGTTGCTACTGTTATGAATCGTAATATAAATATCTGCCGGGGTCCAACCCCAGCGGGTCCAGGGGTTCCCAAAGGTGTAGACGGAGTCGGCGAAGAAGGAAGGACACGGAGACAGCGTTCAGTTGATCAGCAGCCTAGCCAGGATCTCCAGCTAGGTTCTGTGTCCATGTTCTCTTGCTAGGTTCTCCAGGTTCTCCAGCCATGTTCCCTTGCTAGGTTCTCCAGCCAGGTTCTGTCCAGGTTCTCCAGCCAGGTTCTGTAGCCATGTTCTAGTCAGGTTCTCTTGCCCATTTCTGTAGTCAGGTTCAGTCCAGGATCTTTTGCCATGCTCTCTCCAGCGAAGTTCTTCTGTCTGTAGGTTCTGTGTAGGTTCTGTCTTCTTAGTTCTGTGTTCTAAGCTCTGTATTCTAAGTTCTGTCTCTTGCTGTCTTATTACATCTGTATTTATACCAGTTGATTCAATCCTATCAATCTCTATTACAAAGGTTAGGGCGTTTCCTATCTCCATTCCAGGGAGTAAAGATTATGTAGCTTAAGCATGATTGTTTGTAGTTAAAGTGATTAATTACCCACCTGGCACTAGTTAAGAGGTTTTATTCCCTCCCTAACTTCAGGGGAAAATCCCTACCTGGGGAAACAACCTTTCTCAGAGACCTTGGTTAAAACACATAGTGCCAAGAAGGTGAGCAAACATATTAAGAACAGTATGCTATATATGCCAGGTCCCTTGAAACAGCAAGCATGGACCAGCTCCCGGCAAATATCTGATATGCAGGATGGTCTTAGGCGACCCCTGTGAAAGGGTCGTTTGACTGCCAAAGGGGTCGCGACCCACAGGTTGAGAACCGCTGGTCTAAATGAAATAATAGATTGACTGCCTTGATAAACTCATAAGACAACTTTGAAGGGTTAAAAAAAATAAAATATGACTCAAGTTTATTATCTTATTACTAATTTTTAAATATTACTTGCTAGTTATAAGGTATTTTGCCCAGTTCAGGGTTTTTAGGGACTGTTTATACCTGATAATATATATCTGCTTTTAAAAGTAACTGAAAAATTTTCCTTTTTGTTTTTAATTTTCATGTGGAAGGTTTATTGTATTTTACAATCTGGTTTAGCAGATAATGTAATGTTTCAGGACCCTGAAAAGAGGTTCTCATATTTTAAAACAGACGATTCTTCACCTGTTTTGAGTGCTAGACCCTGTGAAGACATGCAACTTCACTTACCCTCAACTAGCACAGTGTTCAACAGAATCACCTTGTCCTCCAAGCCTATCTGTGAACCTCCTTAGGGGAGTTGATAAATCCTATAAATCTTCACTAATGAAACTGAGCTATAACCTTACACCCTGTAGGATCGGCACAGATTAAACTGTTGTGGAGTCTAGATCCCTTGGGAGTGGAGGGGCCTGTGAGGCCTCTGCTGCTGAGAATGCGTCCGAAGTTTTAGAGATCCTAGAGTTGGTCATTGATTCCTACGATTCTTGGGTATTTTTGACTTTAGGTTCGACATAATTTTTTTCTGACTTCAGTTTATGACTTTATTAACTTAGATGCCTAAAATAAAACATTTCTGCTGTAACTCCTGATTCATTGTTAACCAGAAAAGACTATTGCATTAGCCCTTGTTTGATGATGACAATCAGTAATCAAATTGTTAATGTTATTTTAAAATGCATATTTTTCCCTTAATCGGTTCCCACACCTACTGGCATCCATTTGATGTTGTTAAAGACTTATCTGACTCTGTACTCAACTATTAAACAGAAAAAGGGTGACATTGAGAAGTAGGATGGGTTTCCAAAGAGATATGAAATATATTGTTGTGGCTTTTTATTACATAACTATCTTCTCTCTTAGCTCTGGGAAAAGATCCTCACTAGTCCCGGGTTTGAATTTGGAAGGCGCACAGCAGTGCTCTTACCTCACAAAGGACCGTCCTTTTTGGTGCAGCCGTGGCTGCCTCTCTGCACTGCTATCAGAGACAGGAAGACAGAGTCTAAGTTTCCTGCACCCAACCTGGTGATGCCAGCTTTTTCATCAGTGCCACACCCTTGATTATGGTGGCTTTACAGTGAGCCTTGGATTCAGGGAGTGTCAGTGCTCTTAATGTTTCGTCAGCATTGTTGGCTATGCTGGGTCTTTTGCCTCTTTACATAAACTTTAGAGTCGTCAGTATCCACAAAAGAACTTGCTGGTAGTTTTATTGGGGTTGCATTGATTTATAGATCAAGTTGCGATGCACTAACAGCTTGGCAATGTTGAGCCCTCATTATCCATGGACATTAGTCATTTTTGCTAGAAGGTAGAGGTAAGCTGAAAGGCTGGTCACTTATGAATAGCTGTAGCAAAATATCTGAGTATGTAGAAAGTTGAAACTGGACTGATGAGAGGCTGAAGGATTATGTGTTGATTTTTCCTCTCTTTTCTTCTTTTCCCCCATGCCCATGGACAATTAGATGTGTTTATAGCATTTAGAAATTTTGTTTATTTTTTTCCTTTTTTTAAAAAATTAAATCTTTATTATTCAGATTATTAAATTTGTTCATCTTTCCCCCCCCCCCCCACAACTCCCCTCCACCCAGTTTCCACCCCACCCTTGGCCCTTACTCCCCACCCACTGTCCTCATCCATAGGTGCACGATTTTTGTCCAGTCTCTTCCCGCATCCCCCACACCCCTTTCTCCCCCAAGAATAGTCAGTCCATTCCCTTTATATGCCCCTGATTCTATTATAATCACCAGTTCATTCTGTTCATCAGATTATGTATTCCCTTGATTTTTAGATTCACTTGTTGATAGATGTGTATTTGTTGTTCATAATTTGTATCTTTACCTTTTTCTTCTTCTTCCTCTTCTTAAAGGATACCTTTCAGCATTTCATATTATACTGGTTTGGTGGTGATGAACTCCTTTAGCTTTTTCTTATCTGTGAAGCTCTTTATCTGACCTTTAATTCTGAATGATAGCTTTGCTGGATAAAGTAATCTTGGTTGTAGGTTCTTGGCATTCATCACTTTGAATATTTCTTGCCATTCCCTTCTGGCCTGCATAGTTTCTGTTGAGAAATCAGCTGACAGTCATATGGGTACTCCCTTGTAGGTAACTGACTTTCTTTCACTTGCTGCTTTTAAGATTCTTTCTTTGTCTTTTGCTCTTGGCATTTTAATTATGATGTGTCTTGGTGTGGTACTCTTTGGATTCCTTTTGTTTGGGGTTCTCTGCACATCCTGGACTTGTAAGTCTA